GCATCAACTGACAAAGTATGATGATTCTTAACCAATAAGTACCGGAGAATACTTAAATATAGCCATAAAATGTCGAAAGTAGGTCATCATGACCTACATTTAGGTTGACATTTTTCAGAGTTCCATGATGCATCTGCTGACTAAGTTTGATAATTCTAAGCCAATAAATACCTGAGATATTCAGAAGTAGGTCACTGTGACCTACTCTTTGGTCGAAATTCTCCGAAAACCCTATCTTACCATCCTGATGGGGGAATCAGTGGGGCGTGATTCATCCAGTACAAAAAAAGACACGAGTGAAAATAGTTGGAAAAAAGGGGGATTATCATACAAATTGGAAGAAAATAAAATCTTACAATGCTGTTCTGTATATGTTGATAATAGGAAGTAAATATTAGTAAGCAATCACCTGGAATCCATAGTAGATAGAAAATCAGGAATATAATCAGTAGGAGAAGATGGTGATGGCAGTGAATCCGTAGTGAGAGAAGTCTCAGAATCAATAGAAGTAATGGAAAAAGGAACTGTAGAAGAACATTTTTTTTAATTTAAAGTGTATATGTTGCATAACTAGTCGCGGAAACAAAGAAAGAGATCATCTAGAAACAAGAGAGGGAAAGACTCTCACCTCTCAGAGGGTGGACATTCCCTTTGTCAATAATGCGCAACTTTGAGCTATCAAACACGATCCTCTTCGTTCCAACCCCTAATTCTATGCGCAATGTTTCCTTGGTTAGCACCATGTCTCGCGTAAAATGAATACGCACACATTTTCCATCAAATCTTTCAAACCGATCATCACAGCAAACGGTCTAAGCCCTTTTGCAGGGAAAGGGCAAGCTATGTACAATACATAGACAAAAACACACGAGCGCTCTTACAAGTTGCATGGTCGCCAGCATTTTTTTCTTTTTGTGTGTAGTAATGCGCAGAGAGCAACGTCATCAGAACTTTGTAGATTCTATTATGTTGGAAACTAAGGGGTGGTTTTTTTTTTCACGTCAACACACACAGAGAGAACAAGAGGCCAAGGGGCCACAGCGCTCACCTGAGCACATCGGGCTTGAATTTACTCCCCTTCCCCCTCCCTCCAGGCAGTCATCATTTAAAAACTAAAATCTACACTACCTGAGGATGATTCCATAGAAATATCACTAATCATATTAAGCTTTGAAGTACTTGAATAGAAGATTTTTAAAGATTTTTCCTATATATATGTAAAACTTGGGTCGGCCATTTTGGACTCATGATTTGAACAAACTTGAATCTTCACTACCTGAGGATGATTCCACATGAGTTTCATTTTTCCTGGCCTAGTGGTTCTGGAGAAGATTTTTAAAGATTTTTCCTATATATTCCTATGTAAAACTTGGGTCGGCCATTTTGACCCCACCCTTGTCCCGGGGGTCATGATTTGAACAAACTTGAATCTAAACTTCTTGAGGATGATTCCACATGAGTTTCATCTTTCCTGGCCCAGTGGTTCTGGAGAAGAAGATTTTTTTAAAAATCCATTAATTTTTAACAAATTCATAATTATCTCCCCTTGGAAAAGGGCGTGGCCCTTCATTTGAACAAACTTGAATCCCCTTCACCCAAGGATACTTTGTGCCAAGTTTTGTTGAAATTGGCCCAGTGGTTCTTGAGGAGAAGATGAAAATGTGAAATTAGGGTCTTCCGTCTTCAGCGGAAGACCCTTCTATTATTTTTCGGTTTCTTTTTTACCTTTATTATTATTATTATTATTATTAGGGTCTTCCGTCTCCAACGGAAGACCCTTCTATTATTCTATTGTTTCTTTTTCACTTTTATTATTATTATTATTATTATTCTTTTTCTTCTTACAATTTTTGTGCAGAAGATTTCTCGGAGATGGCTCGATCGATTAACTTGAAATTTTCAGGAAAGGTGTGTCGTCAACTAAACCTGATCCGTTTTTCTCATTTTTTTGAAAATCACTTCCGGTCGGAAGTTATTGCCCTTTAATCAAAATTTAGAGGACCTCCTTGTCATCACCAGAACTCAAGAACGGCTAACGCTAGAACACTGAAATTTTTACCAAAGATAAAGGACATGTTGTCAAGATGCACAATGGTTTTCAAATTTTCCGGAAATGCCTAGTATGGAAGCTCGGTAGGGGTCAAAATCTAGGACACGTATCATGACTGAATTTTTGAGACATTTTGCATCATATCTTTTAAAATATAATTATTTTGTTAAAACATACTGAGCAATATTTGTGCAAAATGACAAGATCTTAAATATGATATCAAGAAAAATGTGCTGACTCATCACATTAGGGGCCGAGAGGGGCCAAAAGTATTTATTCGAAAACTCTTTAACAGTCAATATTTTGTTATTAATTACTGAAGCAAAAATGTTTATCTCAACAATCTACAACTATATATTACAATTTGAGTGTCGTATGGTGCATAATAAGGAGCCATAAGGGGCCAGAATGCTAAATCTTTGACGCTTTATATCTCAAAAGAGGGAAATATTTTGATAAGTAATATTGAACAAAAGATGTTCAAAATAATGTTCTGAACAATATGCAACCTTTAGTTTTTCGCTATACGTCCCCTTTAAGGAGTTGAAGGGTTGGCCCGTAAATATTTCTTTTGCAAATAACTCCAAAACGAAAGAGAATCTCTGAATAGTTGTTGAACAAAAAGGGTTCAAAATCCTGAGAGCTTTAAGATAAGATCAACAAAAAGGGGCTTGGCACTCAAATTAAGGGCCGAGAGGGGCTAAAAGTCTTTAATCGATAACTCTTTAGCAGTCATTATTTTGTTATACATTACTGAAGCAAGAATGTTTATCTCAACAATCTACAACTATATATTATGATTTGAATGTCGTATGGTGCATAATAAGGGGCCATTAGGGGCCAGAATGCCAAATATTTGACGCTTTATATCTTAAAAGTGGAAAATACTTTGATAAGTAAGAATGAACAAAAGATGTACAAAATAATGTTCTTAACATTGTGCAACCTTTAGTTTTTCGCTATACGTCCCCTTTAAGGAGTTGAAGGGTTGGCCCCTAAATATTTCTTTTGTAAATAACTTGAAAACGAAAAAGAATCTCTGAATAGTTGTTGAACAAAAAGTGTTCAAAATCCAAAGAGCTTTAAAATCAGATCAAGAAAAAGGGACTGGGAACTCAAATTAGGGGCCGAAAGGGGCCAAGAGTCTTTAATCGATAACTCTTTACAATCAATATTTTGTTAAACATAACTGAAGCAAGAATGTTTATCTCAACAATCTACAACTATATATTATGATTTGAATGTCGTAAGGTGCATAATAAGGGGCCACAAGGGGCCAAAATGCTCAATCTTTGACGCTTTATATCTCAAAATTGGGAAATATTTTGATAAGTAGTATTGAACAAAAGATGTTCAAAATAATGTTCTGAATAATATGCAACCTTTCATTTTTCGCTAAATGTCCCCATTAAGGAGTTGAAGGGTTGGCCCCTAAATATTTCTTTTTCAAATAACTCGAAAACGAAAGAGAATCTCTGAATAGTTGTTGAACAAAAAGTGATCAAAATCCTAAGAGCTTTAAGATGATATGAAGAAAAAAGGGCTGATCCCTAATATAAGGGGCCGTGAGGGGCCAAAAGTCGAATTTTTGAGTCTTTATGTTCAATGTCTGTTTACAGATTATGGAGGCAAAATCGTTCTTCTTCACAATCTTTATCATTATTTTAGAACAAAATCTTATCTCATCTTATCAAGAATCGGACGGAAGACCCACTCGTTGCTCGCAACGAGATCGTATCTAGTTATTATTATTATTAGGGTCTTCCGCTTCCTTCGGAAGACCCTACTGTTATTCTACTGTTTCTTATTATTATTTTATTTTTTTTTTCCCGCTCGATTTTTGACAGGCGATTTCTCAAAGACCTTTGGACTGATTTTTATGAAACTTTCAGGTTAGATACCTTGTAATTAAACCTATTTACACCTGTTTTCAATTTTTTGATGCATGCCTTTAATTGTGAGTTATTGCCCTTTAATTGAAAATTTTGATGTCTCGTTTCCACTAAAAATCTCAAGAACGACGTAAGATATTTACACGAAAGTTGGAGAACTTGTAGCCAATACATTGTAGATGTGCAGAACGATAAAATTATAAGCTGATTTCCTAAAGTTTGGAAGCTATAAAACGGCAAATTTTAGTAATTTTTTTTCTTGAATTTTTGCTACTTTTTGTGTAATAACTTTTGAACCGAGAATAATTTGGTAAGAAATATATAACAAAAGTTGTGTGTAATTACGAGAGCTTTCATATTAGATTAATTAAAAGGGGCTGGCCCCTATAATTAGGGGGTTAATAGCTCATACACGTTTTTTTCTGATAGCTAAAATATTGGTATATTATGAAAAAGTTTGACTGAAATAATTTCGAACTTATTAAATCTTGTCATTTGATATAAAAAGAAATAAACTTCCAGCTATATTTAATTGTTTTTTATATAAAACAAGTATGTGAGAAACCTTTCAGGAACAAGTTGTCTACTATAGCCAGCCAAGCCTTTACTGCATGTGCACATTTTTAGTTGATGCATCTAAAAGATATAGTTTTGATTCGGTGTTTCTTTGTTTTCTTTTTATTCAAATAATTTTAAAATGTGATGATGTACACAACAATAAGTACCTAGTTTAGAGGATTTTTGTTTGTAAACAATGCGCGGCATTGTGGGAAATAGGAAGGTACTAAAGACGCGATGTACTAAACACTGATTTCACCTGATTCAAATTTGTCTGTGAATGTTCCAAACAATTGAATTTTTGTATAGCATATGCCTCGAAGTCATAAAGTCTGTATATAAGTAAGTTAAAATACTCAATATTACCATTTAATTAAAAAATTAAAACGTCAGGTAAATATCAGGTCTCTAGTATATCCCGTTTTTAGTGTGCCCCTTCGAGTCGATGTCGGACACATGTTTACAAACTGAAAATAGAATGATTTGTGGGAAGTTGAACGTTTTCTCACCAAAGAATACGTATGTAGACATGCACACTCATTTAATCTGCAGCTACGAAGTACTTTGTCACTCCTCTGGAACATTATTCTAAGCAGAATTATTCAGATTCATATATTCTAAGAAACTTGTGTGAATTGTTTACGAGGAAATTCCAACTGTCACATTAACAAGGATGAGCACTCTTGACTCTGCTTGGGATTTCCTAGTGATAATTGCATCGAGTGATGAAAGAGCTGACGGCGACATTTTAATGTGTGATTGGCTTGGACCATTGGAATGAAGGTTAGAATATTTTTTTATTACTTAAAATACATGACAGTGACATACATTGATATTATTAGAAATACACAGACACACCGATATATTATCTGTTTTACAGTTCAGACGCTCCCTGTTTGGCTTGTAAATCCCCACAGCTTTATATTATACTTTTTTTTTAATTTGAGAATGTAATTTCAACAAGTCTTACTCACTCAGTCACTGTTACTTTCAAAACCAAAAATGCAAAAATTCCAACACAACAGTCCTACTATCTATCATAGTGATCATACCCTATAATTCAAACTGCACTTAGTGTTACAGAATATATTCAACTAATTATATATTGACAGTGTGACTGTTAGGGTGAAGGCAGATACTTATTTAGTTTTAATTTAGATTGTGCTTGTCAAGCCGCATTTGACATAATGGTGCATCCATGCACAGTGTTCACACTGAGAGTTTATTCAAATGTTTAATTCGAATGATTTCACTGCTCGTTAAATTACTTCCCATTAGCTCCATGTGAACATGACTAAGGATAGCTAATTCAAATTGAAATGAATTTTGAATGTAGCTTAAACATGTTAAAGAAGCTAAGCACTGTGGGTCCAAAGTATACTGCGGAAAAATTGTGTGGAGCAATGTGCAAGTCAAATCTTCTTTTGCCGAGGTGTTATCATAAGAGCTCGCATTATGGGCAGGGATTTGTGCTGCTGTCTGGACTCGCTATAAATAGATGTTTTCAAAAAGTCTGAATTTTTTTAATATCATACTTTACTGACAAAAAAGGACAAATATTGCTCAGTTAAATTGCAAAAGAAATTTGTTTAAAAAAAATTGTAATAATAGAAAGTTTGCTTTTTTGTTTGATAAGACTGCTGTAATGGTTTAATGTTTGTTTATTTGCCTTAATCATACATTTTCAGTCATTTCATGGTGCCACCACTTGGGATGGTATTAGCTGCAAATATAGACTTGTACTTAGCACTTATTGCCTTTAAGAAGTATGAGATCCATTTTGTGCTAACACCTACCATGACACAGAATCTTGGTTTATGCAGTCTCATAGGAGTAACCTGTCTAAAGCATTTAGCAATGGGATTGGAGCCTGAGACGTAAGGTTCAATTTCTTATTGATACTTTGATTGATAATATTTATTTGAGAATTTCTCTTATTCACATACTTAGAGATGTTGATATATACTGTTGAATAGCATCACATAGACCTTTACTTAGCTAACTTACGTAAACATGTACTGTGAGGTTTTTAAGGTCTCATTCATTTTATATGCCGGATGCATGTTAAGGAACATTACTGCATAAATGTTTTTGTCTTAAATTTGAAGCTCTTTACTAATGCCCTGTTCACACGGAGAGTTTAATTCGAATTAAACATAAGTTTACTGCGAATCAGCTTCGCTTAGCGTTCACACGGAGAATTTAATGCAAATTAGTTTACTTCGCATTAGTTTACTGCGCATTAAATTACTTCGCATTAGCTCCGTGTGAACGCTAAGCGAAGCTAATTCGAATTAAATTTTGGGGCATGCGTAATGGCAAAATTAAGTAAAATGCGTCATGTCGGTGGTCAGCTTGAAGTGCTTGTGCTATTTTTGTGTGAAAATTTAAGAAAAAATGTGTTAATCACTAAAATATGTCTCCAGACACTGTGACATTATGTCAAATGCATCTGCTTCTGCATAAGGTGACGTGATTTGCAAATGACGTCATAATAGCCTTCCTCACGCCTGACTGTCGAAGTAAAATTTTAATTCGCATTAGTTTACTTTGCATTAGCTGTCGTGTGAACGCAATTTAATTCGCATTAGTTTGATTCGCATTAGTTTACTTCGCATTAATTTACTGCGAATTAAATTCTCCGTGTGAACAGGGCATTATATAGAGATATGTTACCATATAGTGTTAAACGTCTTCAAATTAGGGTAGACCTTTACTTTAAACTCAGCAATGTGAGTGTGTTGTGTGAACTTGTGTTAGCAAGACAGTGTGTTGTATGAAATTGTGTTAGTCTGACAGTGGGTTGTGTGAATACTTGTTAGCTGTTGCGTAAACTAGTGTAAGCGAGACAGCGTGTTGTGTGAAATCGTGTATAAAGTGTAAGTGTGACAGTGTGTTGTGTAAACTCGTGTTAGCTAGACAGAGTGTTGATTGAACTCGTATTAGCGAGACTTCGTGTTGTGTAAACTTGTGTTAGTGAGACTACGTGTTGTGTAAACTCGGGTTAGCGAGACTGCGTGTTGTGTAAACTCATGTTAGCGAGACAGCGTGTTGTGTGAACTCTTATTAACGAACAGCATGTTGTGTGAATTTGTGCTAGCGTGTCAGTGTGTTGTGTGAACTTGTGTTATCCTGAAAATTTGTCGTGTGAACTGGTGTTAGAGAGACAGTGTGTTGTGTGAACTTGTGTTAGCGATATTGCATATTGTGTGAACTCTTGTTAGCGAGACTGTGTGTTATGTAAACTCGTGTTAGAGAGACAGCGTGTTGTGTGAACTCGTGTTAGCGATATTGCATGTATTTTGAATTTGTGTTAGCGTGACAGTGTGTTGTGTAAACTCGTGTTAGCCTGACAGTGTGTTTTGTAAAATGGTATTAAGATTACAGTGTGTTGTGTGAAATGGTATTAGGATGACAGTGTGTTATCGCAACAGCGTTTGGTGCGAACTTGTGTAAGTGAATAGTGAGACAGCCTGTTTTGTGAATTTGTGTCAGCGTGACAGTGTGTTGTGTGAACTCGTGTTAGCCTGACAGTGTGTTGTGTGAAATGGTATTAGGATGACAGTGTGTTGTGTGAAAATGGTTTTAGGATGACAGTGTGTTATCGCAACAGCGTTTGGTGTGAACTTGTGTTAGTGAATAGTGAGACAGCCTGTTTTGTGACTTTGTGTTAGCGTGACAGTGTATTGTGTAAACTCATGTTAGCGTGACAGTGTATTGTGTAATTTCATGTTAGTGAGATTGCGTGTTGTGTAAACTCATGTTAGCGTGACAGTGTGTTGTGTGAATTCATCTAAGCGTGACAGTGTGTTGTGTGAACTTGTGTTAGCTAGACAGTGTGTTGTATGAACTCATATTAGCGAGACTGCGTGTTGTGTAAACTTGTGTTAGCCAGACAGCGTGTTGTGTGAACTTGTGTTAGCAAGACAGCGTGTTTGTGAATTCGTGTTAGCATGATAGTGTGTTGTGTGAACTTGTGTTAGCCTGATATTTTGTTGTGTGAAATTGTATTAGCGTCACAGTGTGTTGTGTGTTAGTGTGACAGCGTGTGGTGCAAACTTGTGTTAGTGCGAAAGTGTTTTTCAGTGTTGTGATGGCGAGCTGTGTGATAGCCTAATGGCATCTTTTGTGTCAGTAAGATGGCACGTTTTTATGAAAGTGCTATTGAGCTTTAGCAAGTGGCCCTATCTGGACACACCTTATTATGATTGATCAGTTCTCAGATATACAGTGAATTACCGGTATTATTGTCAACATGAAATCAGCATTTACAGTTGCAATTACCTAGTTAGTAATCATAAGATATTGGTTTGCCAGTTATTAAAATTATGGTGTTCCAATGATGTGAAGTTGCAGTGTGTTAGCATGTTACCACTCCAATGCAGCTTTAAACAACAGGCTGCTGTGTTAACACAAAACAAAATATCATGCAAACACAACTCTAAACAATCTGTTGAGCGTTAGCTTCACTGCGTGTTGGATTCAGTGTGCTGGCATATTATCACTGACGTACATGCTAGCACATTGTCACCTCGTGCTAGTATGTTGTCATAAATACTCTAGCACATTATCCTAGACCCGCTAGTGCATTATTACTTTGCACTTGTATGTTGTCTTATTAGGGAATAGCATAAATGACTGCCTTGATTGGTGTAAACTTCTTTTAATTGATGAAAGAGTACATTAAAATTTACAAATTATACAGGAAAAATGTGACAATATCTTAGAACTCAATTTTATAATCTAATTTATAATCTCATGAATTGCATGTTTTATTGATAAAAGAATTATAAATTAAAAAATTTCAATTTCTTTTTGATAGGTGTGACTCATCTGAATACTGAATTTTGATACCAAGCATGACCGTGATTTGCCAGAAGATCATCTGTTTGGATGTGACATGGAATAAACAGCATAGTGAAAATAAGTCAAGTTTTGGTTTGTGACGACAACTTTTAAACACACTGTGTATCATTTTTAAATTTTGATTTCACAACATAAATCCACAAATATGAGCATATCAATTGCTCTCGGTTTTTCAAGTGAAGTAGTTTTTGTAACAGAAATACATGTACCAGTAATTACATTGGACAAAATGTTATTTTTAAATATAATAATATTTTGTTTGTGTTGCATGTTGACCTCTTTATTAAGGTCTTCCCTTTCAAAGTTTAGACTTACTTATTCTAATGATCTAGATAGATCCTCTGTCTTCAGCAGGAATATAAGATCTTGTAATACATGTATGTGTATTTTTACAGTATAATGTAAAAAAAAAAATTATTTTGGCACATACAATTAAATAAAGTCATATACATGTGTATTATTCCAAGGAATTCAATACATAGGGCATGTACATGTAGTTTTCTAAAACAAGATTAAAGAGATGTCCAGTCACATTTCAATGTCAACTGCAAAACTGTGCCTGTTGCATACTTATCTTATTAGCCCATCTGAGCTAAAGGAACAAGTAAATTTTTTAAAAACATAATTTTATCCATTATCATCATTGTCTAAAATTTCACAATATCATTTTCCAGAACCAAAGTGAAACTTGGCATAGAGCATCCTTAGTGTAGGGGATTCAAATTGTTCTTATGCAGGGCAATACTTTCAAAGAGATTTGTTTCTTTAATGCTGTAAATGTATTATATTTAGCTTGTACAATATTTGGTGGAAATTGACTTTTGAATAAGTTAGCGTAGATATTCTTATTTATATTTATGTACAAAACTTTTAGCTTTGTACTTGATTTAGTGATTGCTGCATTCCGCAAAAGCCGCTAAAAAAGAATACACAGCCATATGTAATATGTTTACAATAAACCTTTCAGAGAATTTTACACTCCTATTGAGGTACCACCAGTTGCTAGTGGAAAGCTGCAAATTCGAAATATACACAACACATTTCTGTGCGTTTATTATAAAAGTATTGTTCTACTTACTGATTGCAATTAATGAAGATTGTTCATCATTATTGTAAATACATTTGGATTTTTTGATTTATTATATAAAAATTTGTTTATTTTATTTACCTAGTTATATTGTATATTAAATGATTTTTAAGCCATTTTTAAGATGGTAATGTAGCAAAACACTTATGTTTCTGTAGTATGACACGTTTCACAAACATAATTGTAACAAAGATGATATATCTGATATCAAAAGTCATAATATTGGAAGTTTAACTGTTGTGGATACGATTTCAAGAATGCTGTTAGAGAGAGTACCCTTTAGACCTCATGCTCACACCAAATTAAAGAATTCAAGTAAGGGTTTTTGAGACAAATCGAAAAAGAGAATGTTAGCAAAGTTGACAATCTAGACAGAAACATTTAATCGTTTGCTGATCGCTTGGAAGGAAGACCCACTCGTTGCTTTGCAACGAGCTTTGCTCTAGTTATTATTATTTTTATTCTTTTTTCTTCTTACAAAATTTGTGCAGACGATTTCTCGGAGATGGCTCGTTCGATTTGCTTCAAATTTTCACAGTCGATGCGTTGTCATCTGAAGTTAATTCCGGCAAATTTTTTTTTGGAAATTCACTTCCGGTCGGGAGTTATCGCCCTTTGATCAAAATTTGGAGGACCTCCTTGTCTGTGATGGAACTCAAAAACGGCTCAAGCTAGAAAGCTGAAATTTTTAGGGATGATAGAGGACATGTTCCCATATTGCACCTGGGTCAGGATATTTTCCGGAAGTGCCTAGTATGGAAGCTCGGTAGGGGTCAAAATTTAGGACACGTTTTATGAGTGATTTTTTGAGACATTTTGTATCATATCTTTTAAAATATAAATATTTTGTGAAAACATACTGAACAACATTTGTGCAAAATATCAAGATCTTTCATATGATATCAAAAAAAATGTGCTGACTCATCAAATTAAGGGCTGAAAGGGGCCAACAGTTTTTATTCAATAACTTTTTAAAAGTCAATATTTTGTAATACATTACTGAAGCAAAGATGTTCATCTCAACCATCTACAACTATATACTATGATTTCCATGTCGTATGGTACATAATTAGGGGCCACAAGGGGCCAGAATGCTAAATCTTTGATGCTTTATATCTCGAAAGGGAGAAATATTTTGATAAGCAATATTGAACAAAAGTTGTTCAAAATAATGTTCTAAACAATATGCAACCTTTCATTTGTTGCTAAACGTCCCCATTAAGGAGTTGAAGGGTTGGCCCCTAAAAATTTCTTTTTCTAATATCTCAAAAACGAAAAAGAATTTCTGAACAATTGTTGAACACAAAATGTTCAAAATCTTAAGATCTTTAAGATGAGATCCCGAAAAAGGGGCTGGGCACTCGAATTAGGGGCCAAGAGGTGCCAAAAGTCTTCAATCGATAACTCTTTATCGGTTAATATTTTGTAATACATTACTGAAGCAAAGGTGTTCATCTCAACCATCTTCAACTATATATTATGATTTCCATGTCGTATGGTACATAATTAGGGGCCACAAGGGGCCAGAATGCTAAATCTTTGATGCTTTATATCTCGAAAGGGAGAAATATTTTGATAAGCAATATTGAACAAAAGTTGTTCAAAATAATGTTCTAAACAATATGCAACCTTTCATTTTTTGCTAAACGTCCCCATTAAGGAGTTGAAGGGTTGGCCCCTAAAAATTTCTTTTTCTAATATCTCAAAAACGAAAAAGAATTTCTGAACAATTGTTGAACACAAAATGTTCAAAATCTTAAGATCTTTAAGATGAGATCCCGAAAAAGGGGCTGGACACTCGAATTAGGGGCCAAGAGGGGTCAAAAGTCTTCAATCGATAACTCTTTATCGGTTAATACTTTGTAATACATTACTGAAGCAAAGATGTTCATCTCAACCATCTTCAACTATATATTATGATTTCCATGTCGTATGGTACATAATTAGGGGCCACAAGGGGCCAGAATGCTAAATCTTTGATGCTTTATATCTCGAAAGGGAGAAATATTTTGATAAGCAATATTGAACAAAAGTTGTTCAAAATAATGTTCTAAACAATATGCAACCTTTCATTTTTTGCTAAACGTCCCCATTAAGGAGTTGAAGGGTTGGCCCCTAAAAATTTCTTTTTCTAATATCTCAAAAACGAAAAAGAATTTCTGAACAATTGTTGAACACAAAATGTTCAAAATCTTAAGATCTTTAAGATGAGATCCCGAAAAAAGGGCTGGGCACTCGAATTAGGGGCCAAGAGGGGCCAAAAGTCTTCAATCGATAACTCTTTATCGGTTAATACTTTGTAATACATTACTGAAGCAAAGATGTTTATCTCAACCATCTACAACTATATATTATGATTTCCATGTCGTATGGTACATAATTAGGGGCCACAAGGGGCCAGAATGCTAAATCTTTGATGCTTTATATCTCGAAAGGGAGAAATATTTTGATAAGCAATATTGAACAAAAGTTGTTCAAAATAATGTTCTAAACAATATGCAACCTTTCATTTTTTGCTAAACGTCCCCATTAAGGAGTTGAAGGGTTGGCCCCTAAAAATTTCTTTTTCTAATATCTTAAAAACGAAAAGGAATTTCTGAACAATTGTTGAACACAAAATGTTCAAAATCTTAAGATCTTTAAGATGAGATCCCGAAAAAGGGGCTGGGAACTCGAATTAGGGGCCAAGAGGGGCCAAAAGTTTTCAATCGATAACTCTTTATCGGTTAATATTTTGTAATACATTACTGAAGCAAAGATGTTCATCTTAACCATCTACAACTATATATTATGATTTCCATGTCGTATGGTACATAATTAGGGGCCACAAGGGGCCAGAATGCTAAATCTTTGATGCTTTATATCTCGAAAGGGAGAAATGTTTTGATGAGCAATATTGAACAAAAGTTGTTCAAAATAATGTTCTAAACAATATGCAACCTTTCATTTTTTGCTAAACGTCCCCATTAAGGAGTTGAAGGATTGGCCCCTAAAAATTTCTTTTTCTAATATCTCAAAAACGAAAAAGAATTTCTGAACAATTGTTGAACACAAAATGTTCAAAATCTTAAGATCTTTCAGATGATATGAAAAAAGAGGGCCGATTCCTAAAATTAGGGGCCGTTAGGGGCAAAAGGCCGATTTTTTAAAGACTTTAATGTTCAATGTCTTTATACAGATTGTGGTAAATCATTATTTTAGAATGAAAATCGCAATCAAAATCTTATCTTATCTCATCAAGAATTGGACGGAAGACCCACTCGTTGCTCGCAACGAGATCTCATCTAGTTTTTATTATGTTACAACGACGACAACAAACAACGGACAAACTGTGATCAGAAAAGCTCACTTGAGCCTTTGGCTCAGGTGAGCTAAAAAAGCCCCATTTAACCCTTTTTCACCCATTCTAATTTGAATTTGCTATACCGTTTAAGACTTCCATATCAAAAGAAAGGGAAGGGAAGGGGGGCGGCGGTGGTGTCTTTGTTTAATAATAAAATGCTTTAATTTTTTGTAGGTATATAGCGATGATGTATCAATGTCCTTAGTGCCCAAGAAGTTTCGAGAACGACGCTGCATTTCAGTTTCATAAATATACCGTTGAAAAGATTGAAGAATGAAATTTACTTATCCCGCGAAATTGCAACAAATAGAAGACAACTCTCCCTCCTCTCAACTTATTCAGAGATGTAGATGGTGTGGAGTAGAATTTCACGATAATGAAGAACTCTTTTATTTTCACGAGGGTTTACATAAATTTACCCAGAATCAAACAGGTTCCGGGTCAAAAGACAAAAATTCTTTCGGATATTCTTTTACTAAATTAAACGAAAAAACTTATAAGAAAAATCAAGCTATAGATCTACATTACGTCGTGAAATTACATTCAGATGTCGTTTTAGCAAAACAGAAAGTAATAGATGTTCGAGAAGAACTTTCGGAGATGTTTAGTGCGACATTGGATCAGCCCACAGAAAACTTGAAAGACTCTGACTTGGTTTGTGTCATCGTCCTTTCGGATACATTAACCACTCCGATTTTTGTACTCTTACAAAAAATTGGTGGAATGTCTTCAAAAGTGATCATGGACCATATAG